TTAAAGGCTGTAAGCCAACCCTACTTTCTGGCATTGTGAGAACCTGTCCTTGAGCATGGTACCTTTTTTTCTCTCATGCTGTCAGCCTGCACGGTTTCCAGACGGGATTTAAAGTGTTCACAATCCATTTTCAGCTGCTCTAATTCTTGCTCTTTCCTTTCCAGGTCTAGAAAAAAAAAGACATAAAAATACTCAAGATATTTCAAATCACTAATCTCTCCTAAGCATCTATTTTGCCCAGTTTTCTTGTAGCAAAACCTGCACTAATTTCTTAGGAGGTAACATTTGCATTTCTGATTTCTAACTGGTTCTTGAATAACCAATATTCTAAAAGTCTAGTTTTTCAAGTTCTTACCAGTTTCTAGCCCACAGAAGAAAGGACTTTTTTGGTTGTTTTCTGTTTAGTTTTTAAGGCCTCATTTTACTGCCAGACTTGTACTCAAGGCTTCAAGAAAATGTGTTACTTAAAGGACTGAAGGCAGAGCTGAGAAGCCTGTCTCATGGCACAGGTTTGTATCTGCTCCATAAAAAGCAGAAGGCAGCTCAGTGAGTAGACAGTGCCAGCACAGGCTGGTTCACAAAGCTAGTCTCACCAACTGGCAGACTGACTCAATGGGAACAACTGCAGTAGTAGTCAGTCAACGGAGGAGGGAAAGCAGCAGTGATCAGGCAAGAAAATGCTACAGCGCAAGGGTGGTTACTACATAATACTGCCTCTCCACCAGATTCATTTGGTTAATGAGTCCAATAACCCACAAAAATCTCAAAAGAAATCCACATCAATAAATTAACCGAAAGTATTATCAACTTTAAATTAAAAATATTATGTTGCAGAAACACATTCAAAAAACCAAATACACAATTCAAATTTTTTTAACTGCTTGATCTCAAGGGCTGAGAACTCACCAATTTTTATGCCAACGCATACCAAGATTTGAGGGTGCTAAGAGCTAATGGTATAACTTTTCTGATTAAAGTAGCAATGCTTTAGGACCATGATTCTCAAATTTTAGTGTACATCAGTATCATCCAGAGAACTTGATAAAACACAGTCTGCTAGGCCCCGTGCAAGGAGTTTCTGATTTAGTAGGTCTGGGCTGGGCCTAAGAATGTACATTGCTAACAAGTTTTTACGTGAGGCTGATGCTGCTTGTCTGGGTACCCACATTTTCAAAACTGCTTCAGGGCAATAGTCTGGTCTCTCATCACTAACAAAATGAAATGAACGCACAACACATAATCAGTGCAGCAAATGAGGGAACCCAGCCAAAGGAATGTGAAAGAGCAAAAAAAAAAAAACGGTCTGTGATGAGTGCCAAAGCCTTAAAGAGCCAGAGGCCTGGAAATAGAACATTACTCCACCCTAGCGGAAAAAACGCTCACAGACACTCCTCTACTAAGTGTAGACAAAAAAGAAAGAAGGGTGGAGCTTTAGAACCCAGGCTTCAAGATGGCACGGGGAAGCTCCAAGAAACGTGTGGGGACTGCCTAAAACTACACGGATATTCCAAAAGCTCTAGGGGAAGAAATAAAGGAAGTCTCTAAGTTTTTTACAGACTCTTTGCTCTAGAAGGAAGATTAGAAGCTGAAGTGTTCAGACTAGCTGGAGATTATACAATTGGCAGGCAAAGCTTCTCTTAAAATGTGTTTCTTAAAAATCAGGGCAAAGTAACTTTGGACTATTTATTCTCCCTTAAATCAGAGTTTTCTTTTCTGCTCTTCTCAGAAATACTGTGCCTCAACATGACTTTTATTGGAATTCTTCGGCCACCCAAGATCGACTACCAAGCACTATTCTTTAAAAACTATATAGTTGCATATTTTAACAGTGTTAAATGAAAAGATGTTGTTTTTAATGGTGTGAAAAGACATTTATATATACACACACATTATAATCATATAAAATACATACCACCTATGTCACAAAGAGAAACAAAATGAAAAAAGGAACTAAGATGAAATTATCCGTGCTTTAACATTTTTTCTTTGCATCTGACTTAAATCTTGCTTCTATAATTAAACTATATAGTACTCGAAGATGGTAAAGAAGATAGGAAATTATACCTCTACAAGCCTTACCATGTGCAAAAATCTGTAGGATTAATTTTGACCACCTAAAAGACTCTCCTTCATCATGGTAATTTCATAATCTCTTGCTCTATGTGGTTGCATGTAACCTTAGTGTAAGTTATCACACCAAAGGGACAGAGCTAAAACATCCCACTGAACAACAACAGGCAACCCCACAAAAGTCCAGATCAGTGATCAGGGAGGCCACACCCACCCACACTAGGCTCCCATGGAGGTGGCAGGTGCCTTTCCGCTGTGTGAGGCAGCCTCCTTGTGGCCAGATGGGAGCGTTGCTGCTGCCTTGTAACGAAACTCCTACCTTGCATCCTCAACTTGGCCCACTGCACGGTACCTAAAACCACGGAGGGCAGGGATTTTCATCAGTTTTATGCTACCCCAGTAGGATATTTACCACACAAATGAATTTCACTTTTTTGTACATTCCTTGAACAGAGAAAACACACGGCTACTTTGGTTATCAGTATGTCTCATTCTTGTATAATGAGAACATGTTTTTGCAATTTTTTTTAAAAATAGGGACAGAAATAATATGGACTGGATCAGGCATAGTGTCTCACACCTATAATCCTACCTCTTTGGAAGGCTGAGACAGGAGGATCACTTGAGGCCAGGAGACAGAGACCAGCCTGAGCAACACAGCAAAACCCCTTCTTTACAAAAAAAAAAAAAAAAAAAAAACTTTTTAAATAAAAAAAAAATTAGGTGGGTGTGGTGGCACATGCCTATAGTCCCAGCTACTCAGGAGGCTGAGGCAGGAGGATCGCTTGAGCCCAGGAGTTTAAAGTTACAGTGAGCTGTGATGATGCCACTACACTCTAGCCCAGCTAACAGAGTGAGACCCTGGGAAAGAAAGGAAAGGAGGGGAAAAGGAAAAGGAAAGGGAAGTAAAGGGAAAGGGAAAGGAAAGGAAATAATATGTACATTAAGTAATACATTAGAAACAATCTAAATCATAGACCATTTCAACATCTATTTATCTTCTAAAACTACAACCCTTTTTAATATAGTTTTAATAACATGAGAATGACTATCTCTTAATATAATTTATTCACAGGGAAGGTACAGAAAACTTATATGGGCAGCATACAAAGAGCTGTAATTAAAAAGCAGCATTGCTAAAACACTGATTAAAGATATTAAAACTGTACAAAAGAGATCAATTTCTAGCCAGTTCTTTATCGTCTAGTATGCTTATAATAAATCAATTGTTTCATGTTAATATGAAAATATTTCATCAAAATAGCTAAGGAAAGAGTCTCAAAACTAAAAGGCTTTTTAATAACTATTAACTTTTACCTTCTTAATACACTCTAATAGGTTTAGAAAAGACTTTAGAATAAGCTACTAATGGATTCCATCTTCCCTTTAAACTAAGATTTGGGGAGTATATTCCTTTCCTGGGGCTGTGGTAACAAAGTACCACAACCTGCGTAGCTTAGAACAGCAATGTATCATCTCACAAGTCTGGAGGCTACAAATCTGAAAACCACCTGTGGCAGGGCCACCCTCCCTCTGAAACCTGTAAGAGAAGGATCCTTCCTTGACAATTCCACCTTGTGGTAGCCACAAACATCTCCTGGTTTGTGGCAGCAGAAGTCAAATCTCTGCTTCCACCTTCATGGGGTGTCCTCCCTGTGTCTCTCCACATCACCTTCCTCTGTGCACACCTGTGTCTGGGTCCAAATTGCTCCTTTTTATAAGAACAGTCATAATGGATTACGGACCACCATAATGGCCTCATTTTAACTTTATTACCTCTGTAAAGACCCTATTTCCAAATAGGTGCACATTCTGAGGAACTAGGGGCTACACTGCAACATATCTTTTTGGGGGATACACAATGGTGAGTATTCCAGAACTTCCTGGGTTCATCAGAACTCCCTCTATACACAACCGTAAGAACTACATGGGACCGCGAAACAGTTTCAGTTGAGAGGCGTTCCTAATCACACGTACTGCAGCGGTCTTCAAACCTCACTGCTAAGAACCCAGGAGTACCACCGGAATGAATACAGTTCTGTAAACATTTAATTAGTATTTCCATTTTACAATGTTGTTTAAACTTTTATTTGAAAATAATCTCAAATTTACAAAACACTGCATAAATAAAAGTAACACAAAGAACATCTAAGTACTCTTTACCCAGACTTCCCTACTGTTAACACCTTGCCACATTTGCTCATCATTTATACCACACACACACACACACATACATGTTCTTCTGAGCCATTTGAGAGTAAGTTACATTTACCATGGTCCTTGACTCCCTAAGAGTTCAGTGACTACGCCCCAAGAATAGGGACAATGTCTTAAGCACCCATCATATACAGTCATCAACTTCGGGAAAATTAATATAACACATTTATCTAATCTACCACTGACATTCAAATCTTGTACAGTGGCCCCATATTGCCCTTTATAGCATATCTTTTCCTTCAAGTACAGAATTCAGTCTAGGGCCAGGTATTACAATTAGTTGTCGTGTATCTTCAGCCTCCTTTAATGTGGAACATCTGTCTTCTCTGTTATAACATTATATTTTTAGCAATTTAAAAATCAAGACAATACATATGGGAAGACTTCCATTTCCTGCTATGATGGTGATGTAGCAGATCAATCCTTCCACGAAGAATAACTAGAAAAGCAGAATTTAAACAACAAAAAATCATTTGAGGGTCTTTGACAGCTGCTAAGGCAGGCAGGCCTTGAGGCCCAAGACCCAGAGGATAGGGAAATATTCCAGTGCGAATGCGCCCACCACTCTCTGGGCTGTCACATCTGCAGATTCAAAAGCTGCACAGGCAAAGAGACAGCAAAGCTAAGCAGAGAATCCAATCGTGCCACGGAGCTGGGGAAAACAATGACGTGCAAGGCTATCTCACAGCCAAGACTTAAGGGCAGGCCGTGACCCTGGGGAAAATGAGAGCATAGAAAAATGAGCTAATACCAGAACCACTTCTCCCAGCAACAGAGAGTTTGCAAGTGGCACATGAGAAGGTATGGAGGAGCCAAGCAGTGAATGAAAATAAGCCAAGCTGCCAAGCACAGCTATAACTATAGGGGTCATGGCCCAAG